TTTAGAACAAATGTACTTGCAACATTCTTTAAACAATCGATTTCAGTCAGAAAGACTTGTTTAAAAATGCTTACATGAAGATTTACCACCTAAAACATTTAAAAAGAAAACTCAGATAAATGTACTTTGAATTTTTTTAGGTAACAATGATTTGTTTGAGTGAATAAGTTACAATCTGCTGATGCATTAAAAATATCTGCATCTCATAATTAAATAGTGTTTTTTTTGTCATAAGTGATAAAATTGAAACTGTAACTCCACAGGGAGTTTAGGACCCCTGCCATTTTGTTTTTTTGTGTTTTAATGATTCTAAAAATGTGCATCCTGATGTTTTACAAACATTTACCCAAAAAAATAAAAAATTAAACATTTATTGAGAAATTGTTCACTTATTTTGTGTAAAATATTGTTATTGTCATTTAGTAGAAATCAATCAATTTGCTTGAGTGGATCAGTTAAAAAATTGAATATTTACAAAATGCATTGAAAACATCTGCATCTCTGATTAAAATACCTGTTTTTTTGTTGTGACAAAATTGAAACTGGAACTCCACAGGGAACCATTTAGGCCCCCTAACCTAAATGGGGGCCTAATCCCTAATGAGGGATTAGAGTTCAGTTTGACGTTAAAGGGATTCTTCTGTCATTTTTTTGTCCAAAGAGCCAGGTTTTGTTGATTATGTCTGATTTGTAAAAGCAGTGAAACGTCTAAAACACCAACTTCTTATGGGCTTTGTAGGTTTGCATACATAACCAGGCAAAACTTTGTCAGGTTAAATTGAGAGAAAGGATGTTTATGGTCCTAGGAGTGTGTGAAGCAGCCTACATTTGGGATGGTAATGAGACAAAATTTGAATATTTACTTACAAACAGCTAAACATGGATGTACAGCAATAAGTTATAAGGCTTGGAGGCTAACTCTGTGATTTCACTTGAAAGATGCAGGCGGCTAACATCGAAGCTACATGGATCTGCAGGACAGGTTTTCATCCTGGAGCTTCCTGTTCAGCCATGAAGCTCAAAGGCTGTTTTCTTTATGCAAAAAGCAGCTCATACAGCTGGAAGTGGATGACTTGATGAGTAAACGGGAACATTATATAATCCAACCGGATACAGGCAGCGAGGGGACCTGGATCGCTCCCAGAAACTCACAGAAGTGTCCCTGAAAGGTTCAGATGGAGGTGGAGGCAGCTGATGGATGATGACAGAAAGACGAAAACTGCCGAGACGATTAAAGACAAATTAAACTGCAGGTTGACATTTTTAGACAGATGAACAGCCTGGCAGGGAGATTTTACTCATTTCATCAAATGAATATTCATCATATACAGTCATATTCAATATAACAGAATGTACGTTCCAATGACGCCGGTTTGTAGGAATAAACATACTTTTGAAAATAATCTTTAATTATTAAGTCCACATTTCAGGACTTAAATGTTGTTTTCAGCAGAAAATCACCGTAATTAACAGAAATAAAGGCTTGAAAATATCAGTTTGTGATGTTTCATTTTGTGAATATTCTGATTTATTGAATATGACCAAACTTCAGTTCAATGCCTTAATTGTAACCTATAATTTGGTTCTGATACTTAATAAACCTTTGGCGAAGCTTTATAAAACCTTCAGGTTTTCCTTTTACGTTCCAGGAAAGCAACATGCTAGTTTTCTGGGAGTAACCTGTAAATCCCAGGAAAGTAATCTATTACTTTTGTTAAAGTATTCTGTATGTTCCTTCAGGGGAATTTATGAAAATATAATATAATAAACAGCAACATATTCGGTACATTCTGGGAAGGCAAAGATTCTGGAAAGCACTTCCTTAAAGGCAACCTGAAAGTTATGAGAAAGCAGTCTGTCCATTCTGCAGGAGAACTTGAAAGTTCTGGGAAAGCAACTTATAAATTCTGGGAAAGGAACCTATCCATTCCTCAAGGCCACCTGAAAGTTTTCAGAAAACTACCTGTTTGTTTCACAAAGCAACCTGCAGGTTCTCTAACCTTAACCTGAGGTTTGGAAAAGCAGCCTGTCTGTTCCTCTAGGCAACGTGAAAGTTCTGGGAAAGCAACCGACTCGTTTTGCTTCAGATTCATGATCGATGAAAGTTGCTGCAGGCGTTCCACTTATCTTTACGGTTGATTCTGACGCTTTGGTTTTATGACTGATGAACAGGAAAAGATCCTGCCTGGATCAAATTTTATTTAAACAATTGAAGCCGGATCAGATCCAAAGATCTGAGTCCATCTCCACTTTTTCCTTCAAGAACAATGTGAAGAAAATCTCCTGTGTGAACGACTGAAACGTCTCTAAATGAGAGAACTTCATTTCTGACAGCAGCTTGCTTCGCTAAATGCTCTATAAATATCCAAAGTGTTTTCAGGTTTTAAGACGCTTCTGTCTCAGCCCGGAGCACTTCAGGGTCTCTGAGGACAAAAGTGCAGGAAGCTCCCATCTGCTGCAGGGAAAACGCTGCGACAGCTGACGGCTTGACGCGCCTGCAGACTCCATCTGTCCTCTGCAGCTTCTGACCAAAGAAACGGAAAAACAAATCCACTTCCACCGGCCGAAGTTTGTCTTGTTCCTGCAGTTACCAACTTATAGATTTGGTTTTGATTCCAAGATGTAGCAGTGATACTTTCCTGGTGCTTTGGTGAGATTTATTAAGATTTACATCCAATCTGAGTTTGTCTCTTTGACGTTGTGGCTGCCATCTTGCTCAGGGATTCATAGTGAGTCAAATAATACAACTTACACTTAAAGAGAGTAAGTTGCAGAACAAACTCAGCAGGAGATTATCTGAAAAATTTTGGAGGAATCTTGACCCACCCTGCTTTGCAGCAAATCTATGTCTGGGCTTTGACTAGACTACTCCAACAAATAAATTTTATTAGACTTTTTCAGAGATGGACTTTCTGCTAGAGAACAGAAAACATTATTTTAGGATTTATTGCAAGTTGTAGAGGTCCTGAAGCAGCACAGCAGCCCCAGACCATCATACTGCCACCACCATGTTTGACTGCTGGTACATTTGGCCCCCGCCTGTTTGCTGTTTGTGGATTTTTCTGTGGACTGTAACTCCAAATTATTTGTAAAACAGCTGAAATAAATAGGTGCAATGCTGTTTGACATGTTATTGGTTGGCTTTTCCAAAGCAGCCAATCCAGGATTGCATTTATTTCCTTGGAACTGATTGGCTGTAAACTCAAGAGCAAAGATATTGCAGACCAGAGATGTTAGTTTAAAATTTAGCAATATTTCACCATCTTTCCATTTATAGGTTAACTTCCTTTGGATGTTTTTGTCAAAAGAAATTTAATTAAAAACCGTGTTGGATGTATTTTTCCTTTAGGAAATGAAATCATTTTAAAACTACTATATATGGTGACTTTTTTTTTCAAATCATGCACAGTTACGTAGTGGAAGAAAAAGGATAAATGTTTAAAAACATTTTAAAGCCATAAATACATGAAATTAACTAAATTATATTAAAATATACAAAATTTATGCAATGTTCTTCCAAAGAAGCAAAAAAATGGATTTAAATTAGCAAACCTGACAGTATGGAACAAATATTAACATATAGATTTTACCTGTGCTCCATTTATAAGTTTGTATTCTTTTATAAATTAAACTATTGTCTATTTAAAGTGTCCAATTCAGATACAGGAGTTTCTGAAGTAAACAAAATACAAGGCAGTTTTTTCATATTTAGATGGAGAATTAGGAGTTTTTGTTTGTTCGCTCTGAAATCGTTAAACCATTTCATGGGATTTGTCCCTCAGGTTATAAAATTTCCAAGTATGAATTAAACTATTCATATCATGACCTGCAGATTTGCTGAAATCTGTTGTTTTTATTTGTTCATACTATTAATGAAATGTGGTTTCAATCAGACTTCTCTGTGAACGGTTTACAAAGCCAAACTGAGTCACAGAAGAAGAACGTAGACGTCACACAGCAACACACGGTTTATGAATAATGGCCGCCGCCATTTTAAAGTGATTCAGCAAGGGGAGCCGACAGTAATGTGACAAAATCATTAGACGAAGGAAACATCGTTTACGTTTGGGTTTACCTCGTCTGTCTTCTGCTGCAGAATTATGACGCATGTTGGATAAAATGCGACTTGAAGGTCCAGACAGCAGACGCTTTTGAAAACTAGTTGAGTCCCATATGTGGAAGTGGGACAAATCAGATTTTTTTTTTAAATGAAAGGGTTTTAATTGAGTCGTTAAGACTGCCATAAAAAAGTCAGATAGATGGAGAAAAAAAATCTCACTTGCTGTGTGAACAGAATCAGAAAACAAAATGCTTCAACAACTGATATAAAGCTTTAACTATTTAAAATACTGTTTCTTAAATCTCATTTAACACATCATGAATATCCCTTAACACTGTAATTCATATTTATTTTCATTTCTTTCGAGGATCTCATGACCCCACATTGGTTATTTAACGTCCCTAATTGAGGTCTCGACCCCCACTTTGGAAACCACTGAGTTAAAAAAAATGAACTTTTACTCCAGTTTTTTTCCTGTACTTATCCACTAATTAACTCTAACCAGCTGTCACTGATCCTCCCCACATCATGATGCTGCCACCACCATGCTGCACCACAGTAAGGATTTAGCGTCTAAATTTCCTTCTTCACATTTACTGTCTGCTAAATGAAGATTTATATTTAGTAAACAATTAAAACATCTCTGTTAATAATCCATTGTGTTTTTAAAAGTTTAAAAACTTTTAACTACTTAGATTGAAATTTAATTTTAATTTGAGGTATTTGAGTAAATGGAACCACTGTTTAAGAAAATTCAGGTTATTTTAACTTAAATTGTAAGAATTAAATGTTTGTTATTGATTTATGTATTTAGATTCAGTAAATCAAAAGAAAATATGTTTTTCAATAAATACAGAGCAAACACCCTCATGTGTTTTGTTTAGAGCTCCAACAATGTTCATTTTGAGCGTGAATAAGAAGATTTCTGTTTAGGACTAACCTGGTTTCAGAGTTGATTTCTCCTCATCCTTTCTGCTCTGTCGTCTCTTCTTGGCTCCTGTTCTTTGTTTTCTGTCCATTTTTTCCCCTCGCAAATAAAAAGTTATTTAATTTAAACGAATCGGACACAAACAACAAGGCTGAGGTCCACTCTGTTAGAAAAAAAAATATTTCAGCTCTTCCATAAAACCTGAGTGTCTGCATCTCAAAAATAGACTTTTATCTTTCCAAAAAAGAGAAGAAATTAACACCAAATCCAAAAATCTCCAGCTTGATGTGGGGAATATGTACACATCTGCTTGATGTAAACATCATGACTTAGTGTAGGAAGTGATAAAGTATTTTCCCCCTCTCTCTTCCTACATTATGTACACAGAGTGTGGTTAATCCTCCGCCATGTCCAGTAATTATCCCGAGTCCTGATTGTCCCTGATTATCCTCGGCTGAGGCCTGATGTCCCATTTCCCACTAATTCATCCTGCAGCCCGCAGAGTTCATGTTTCCTGCAGGTTTAAAGGGCCGCTCTGCTGCATGCATGCACTGATGGATGTGGGAGGAAAGTTTTAGTCAGAACCGAGTTCATGGGTCAGAAGGAGCCCGGACCTGGCGGGGCTACAGGTCCGTCTCCCGCGTGTCCAGACAAAACGCGTAAAGGGATTTCTTGAAGTCCATGCTGCTGTTGGCTTTAATGTTCGCCTTCTCCACCGAAGCGCCGTCGGTCTCGTTCTTCTCCACATCCTGAGATTTCACCGACGTCCTTCTGCCTTTGCGCTTCACCTCTGGGCTCTCCGGCCCCCCGCTGGGATCGTCCTTTAGGCTGGACTGGTCCTGGTCCGTCTCCCGGTGGTAGAAGTAGTTGAAATTGGAGACGATGACCGGAACCGGCAGCGCGATTGTCAGGACGCCGGCGATGGCGCACAGGGAGCCCACGATCTTCCCCCCGACCGTCACCGGCCGCATGTCGCCGTAGCCCACCGTCGTCATGGTGACCACAGCCCACCAGAAGGCGTCCGGGATGCTGGAGAAATGGGACTCCGGTTCGTCGGCCTCCGCGAAGTACACGGCGCTGGAGAAGAGGATGACCCCGATGAAGAGGAAGAAGATGAGCAGACCCAGCTCCCGCATGCTGGCTTTGAGGGTTTGACCCAGGATCTGGAGCCCCTTGGAGTGCCGCGAGAGCTTGAAGATCCGGAAGACCCGGACCAGGCGGATGACCCTCAGGATGGCCAGCGACATGGCCTGCTGGCCGTTCTGGTGCTCCTGGCCCTGCTGCTCCGCCAGCTCCGTGCCCACCGTGATAAAGTAAGGCATGATGGACATGATGTCGATGATGTTCATGATGGTCTTGGAGAACTCGGACTTGCTCGGGCAGGCGAAGAAGCGCACGATCAGCTCGAAGGTGAACCAGATGACGCAAGTGGTCTCGATGATGAAGAAGGGGTCGGTGAAAGTGAGGGACGGCCGGGGCGCGGTGCTGTTGTCCAGCCGGCTGGTGACCGCCAGCTCCCGCTCGTCCCGGAACTCCGGCAGCGTCTCCAGGCAGAAGGTGATGATGGAGATGGTGATAACGATCACGGACACGATGGCGATGCCCCGCGCCGGGCTGGAGCTCTCCGGGTACTCGAAGATGAGCCAGACCTGCTTCTGGAACTCGTTCTGCGGCAGCGGCTTCTCCTCCTCCTTGATAAACCCTTCGTCCTCTCGGAACCGCTCCATGGCCTCTTCTCCTAGCTGGTAGAACCGGATCTCATCCGCGAACACATCGATGGAGACGTTCACGGGTCTGCGGATCTTCCCCCCGGACTGGTAGAAGTAGAGGATCCCGTCGAAGCTGGGTCTGTTGCGGTCGAAGAAGTACTCGTTCCGGAGCGGGTCGAAGTACTTGATCCTCTTGGCCGGGTCTCCCAGCAAAGTGTCCGGGAACTGGTTGAGGGTGCCCAGCTGGGTTTCATACCGAAGCCCGGCGATATTGATGAGGACCCTCTCGTTGCTCTCGGTGTCCATGTCCATGTCCAGCATGTCCTCGTCGAACAGGTGGGGACTGTGGTCCGCGCGTAAAAGCGCATCCATGGCGTTCTCGCTGCAGCTCAGAGTGTTGTTCATGTCGTTGATCTTCCAGGGGCTGCGCTGCTGCTGCTGCTGCTGCTGCTGCTGCTGCTGCTGCTGCTGCTGCTGGGGACTCCCCCGGGTGTTCAGCTCCTTACCGAACTCCTCTCCCAGTCCACTTTGAACAAACCCCGGCTGAGGGACCTCCAGTGCGTTCCGGCAGCTCTCTTCGGCATTGCCGCCGCCGCCTCCTCCTCCTCCGCCGCCGCCGCTCCCCTTAGCGCCGCCGTTCTCAAAACTCACCAAGGCTATCTCCATTCCGCCGCCATCAACGGTTAACGGGGAAAAACAGCGGGGACTTGTTGGGCGGCGGGGCGGACATCCTCCCGGTGAGCCGGTGATGGAGACGGAGCTGCGCTCTGAATCACAGCCACGGCTCCGCTACGCAGGCAGGCATGTGCTGCTGCTGCTGCTGCTGCTGCCGCTCCAAGAAGCGCAGAAGAAAGTCAACTCTAAACCCAGAGGAGGAAGAAGAAGACCCGGATGAGACAGTTGGCTGGATAAATGTTCCTGGGCGGTTTAAGCGCTCAGCCGCCGCTGAAAATCTCTCTCTCTCTGTTTCTCTCTATTTTCCTCCCTCTCTCTCTCTCTGTTTCTCTCTATTTTCCTCCCTCTCTCTCTCTCTGTTTCTCTCTCTCTCTCTTTGGTTCGCGCACTGACAGTTTTCATGATCCAAGAGTATCTTTCTCCCTTCTTGCAGGATTCATCAGCATATCTTATTTCTTGGAAATTAATCAATTTTGAAGTCAAACTGACTGATGATCAGATTAATAAAGAACATTTACTGAACAGTATATCTGGAGATTTTCACAGTTCTTTAAATTTGTTCACATTTAGGGTCTTGGCAACCACAGGTCACTGACTGTTTTTGAAAGTAGATATGGAAGTGGATTAGGGCCACCAGTCATCATAATAATAACATTCTGACTTTAATCTCAGAATTTTGACTTTTTTTTACTTAAATCTCAGAATTTTGATTTTAATTTCAGAATGTTCAGATTATGTTTTTTTCCTCATATTATCACTATTGTGCTAATATCATGATTTATGTTGTTATTACGACTTATGCTACTATTTTACGACTTTATTCTTGTTATGTTAAACTTTACTGTAATGTTTTGACATGTTGTATGACTTTATTCTCTGACTGTATTCTGATATTTTGACTTTTCTCATATTATAACAACTTTATCCTCGACTTTTTGTCATGCGACTTTATTCTAAGATTATTATGACTTTACTGGTATTATTCCAATTTTTTCTCATAATATTTCGACTTACCTAATCCAAATCCTTTCCTGTTTTTAAAGTACATCTTTCTCCAGTCTGAGCTCAGATAACCTCATCCCATCTGTAGACTCTTTCATTCCAGCCTCCTTGTTGCCTTTGTGTCCTCCTCTCTTCTCTGGCGGACAGTTCGGGGCCCGGGGCCACACTCTGCTCTCCATCCCAATGTTACTTGTCCTTCTTGCTTTGAAGACCCTCCTCTTTTTTTTACAATTTCAAACTGCTTTCATTCTCCAGTTTGAAAGCAGTACTCAGCACTCTGGAGCTCAGTTAATCAGGACATACTGCGCTAGGTGTACCTCTCCAGTTGCAGCAACTCAATGCATTGAGGCCTTTAGATGTTTTGCTAAAGTTCAAGCAATGCATGCTCTAAAAAAAATCAGAAACTGCTGATCTGAATGATAAAAGCATAAGAAATGTTAATGGAAACACAGCTAATAGCTCAGAAATCGCTTCATAAACCTCTGAATTATTCTTCATTTGCTTTGCTCAGGATTTTCCGACTACAAACTAGCAAAGGTGTAGTTTTTCCTCATTTGTTTCATATTTTTTAAAATAAAAACAGAACCCGGGTTACCCTTCAGCTGAGGGCCGCTCTAAATGTACGCTGGATGTCTGAAATGTATTCTTCCTCTTGTAAAGGACACAAACACGCAGACACACGCTGGCAGCTCGTTCAGTTGTCTCTAAAAGCAGAGAAGGTGACCTATTTAAAAGGTTACTTTCTTCGCCCCCTGGCTGGATTAGAAAACAAAGCGCGAGCACTAAATTTATCCTGCTCCTTATCTGATGCTGCAGCCTAATCATGATAAGAAATATGTGCATCTTCCCGCCCCTGGATTAAATGCACTCTCCTCAGACTGCCGCAGCCATGAATAATGAGTCGTCATCACCCATCCATCTCACTGTGTGACTGGCCACTGGCAACGCAGCGATTTCACGCACTGGATACGGCCATTAGGGCGCTTTTACAATAAACTTCATGAAGTTTGTCATGCGGATAACGACAGAGCGGAGCATGTGAAACTGGAGTTTCATGGTTTTTGGTACAAAAAAGATGAAAGGAGACGTTGGTAGAGGAGAAAAAGGCAAATGTCCAACACAGAAACTCATGTTTCCAGTTTCAGATATGATATTTTAATATTGCATTTTAACCCTTCTATGTTCATCTCAGGACTTCATGACAGACACATTCAGGTTCACTGTATTTAAAACTGGAAGTCAAGTTGGTGCTTAACATCAGCCAGCAGCTTCTGCCCTATACATTAAATAAAATGCAAAAAATAACCCTAAACAACAGGCATCTAATAGCAGCTACCAGCAGTTGACATTTGTAAAATTAAACACAGCTGAAATGGACAACATTAATAAAAATAACTGTTGAAAGCATATACAAAACATAGCAAAATTACTAACGAAACTCTGTATATGATTAAATTTGTCTAAATACGCTAAAAGTATAGTATTTGTAAAAGGAACACAGAGCTGATCCTAATACACAGTTACCGATGGCAACAGAAAAAGGGGAGGAGCTGGCAGTTACTGGTTACTATGGTAACCACGTCAAGAGCAGCAGAACTTAAAATCACATCAACAAAAGTCTATAGAAACAACTTCTTGACTAAACAAAATAAATTCAAAGAATAAAACAAATTTTGACAAATTTCATATCACATTGTTCTATTTATAAGAATTTATTAAATTGTAGTCTTTTTCTATGAAGTTACCAAAATTATTTTTAATAAGGCAAATCAGCAGAGCCCTTTTTAAGTTTTGGATCTAGAATAAATTTACGTATCCTTTTCCAGCAACAAATCTGATTATGTTGTTTAATTGAAATATTGCATGTTTAGTTTATTGTTGAGTGGGAAAAAAAACAAAACATTTTTTGGCCCTCAAGTCCTTTTGACTCGATGATTTTGGCCGATATGACAAAAAGTTTGGACACCCCATGTTTTAACTAGAAATCCAGCACTAATCAGTCAATCAAGTTTATTTGTGTAGCTCATTTCACAGGGCAGTCTGAAGTGCTCTACGTCAGAAAAACACAAAAATAAGAAGTCATAAAAACAGCAGTCACCAATTGAGAAATCAGTCGATTGCCATCAACAAAATCATCAATAAACATTCAATATTTTGATCAATGTTCCAATTATTTAGGTTCAAAAGCAAATCTAAACATGTGGGTGTTCAGCTTTGATTTAAAGGAACTCAGTGTTTCAGCTGTTTTACAGTTTTCTAGAAGTTTGTTCCAGATTTTGGTGTGCCTCCAGTAAACTAACTTTTAGGAAGATATATCAGTCTATTTAATGACTGTATTTTGTTTACAAGTTATTAATAATTAAATTGCTGAAACATAGTTAAAATTTCAATGTTGCAAATTTCTTTAGATGCAGAAAAAGATTCAACTAAACATGTTTCATTCAGTGTTAAAACCGTATACATTGTTTGACATGCAGTCAATATTTTAAGCTTTTTCTTTGTTCCTGGGTTCTTTTAGTGAGACTTTTTTGGAATAAAAGATGTAAAATTTGCAGCTTCTAATAGAAAACTAACAATATAAACTCCACTCTTGGGGAAAAAAAAGAACATGAACTTAAACTTTGTTTTTCAGAGAGTTTTGTGCAATGAAATGAAATGTTTATTCAGTTTAAAATGAGAAACTAATCATGTAAAATATCATAAAAACCTGCTGGAGGTGAAACACCAACATCCCAAACATCAGCAGTGAATGTGTGTGTGAGAGGAATCCCATCATCTGTGGTGCTTCAGGTACTGTTGGTGGTTTCAGAGGGAGATGGTAACCATAACAACAGGTAACCATTAACGACCAGCATCCACCACGACTGCAGCTCACAAATTAGCTCTCTAATTACAGAGATGCAGCTCAGAGCTGCTGCTGCAGCTGATAACAGCCGGCCCTCCTCAAGTGTTTTCCACCCTGGAACAAACAACAGTAGCGCGTCCAGATCAGGGACTTTAATGCAAATGTGATTTCATTCAAGGAAACTTGCAATTTAAATAAATGTAACTATTTATTATTATTATTATTATTATTATTATTATTATTATTATTATTATTATTATTATTATTATTATTTTCATTATTTTAGGATGACCAGAGAGTCTAAACTTTGTTAACAATCCCTGATTTTTGGTTCCCTAGAGGAATAAACATGGTGTGACAAAGAGAGAGATATATTCCTTAGCCGCTATTCGAAATGAGAAAGACAGGAAAGAATGGTTAGAGACAGCAAAAGCTCTATTTAGCTTCAAACTCAATATCTGTTTTGGGGCTAAATATTTAGTTTGATGCTAAATATTTAGCTTGCTAACTAAGTATCTAGTTCTGATATTTAATGAGATATTTAGCTAGAAGCTAATTATTTAACCCAGAGCTAAATATTTAGTTTAAACGTAAATATTTTATTGGTGAACTAAATACTTAGTTTGAAGCGAGCCATGTACTGAGGCTCAAACTAAATATTTTGCTCCAAATATTTATTTTGTACAGTAACTTTTTAGCTTGTTAGTTAAATATTTTATTTGAAACTGACATAAATGAATGAATAACATGGTGAAAGTATGACTTTGAAAAATCAGTCAGAATCCAGGAAATAAAAAAAAAATCAGATTTATACGTTGCTTTTCCCCTCGCCCCTTTCTGATGCTGCCCTGGACAACTGCCAGCTACTCAGACCAGACTGATTACTGCAGAGGAAAGCCCAAGTCTGTCAGTTCTCCTCAGGTTGGGATCCTCCCAACAGAACCAGACAGAACAACCAACAGAGCAGAACTGTTTAGCTAAACCCAGAGCTGCAGATCCTAAAGGTCAAACTGCATTAAAATCCCAGTTGGGGTAAATAAAACGTCGATATGTTCCCAGACGTTGCACAGGACTGAGGCGGTGAAAACGTTGCACAGTCTGAGTCAGACTGTGCAACTGTGCAACACCTGCGGGAGCATCCTCCATCACTAAATCTGCGTGTGCCTCACACCGCCATCCGACCCCGCGCTCTCCCCGCCCGGTGTGTGTGTGTGTTTCTGGGCTCAGGGCGGCTGCATGAGGAAATGCTGCGATGAGTTTAAGAAGTCTTGACAGCAGATGTCTGCATAATAACACACAGAGCGGACATGTGCAAGCAGGAAAATCAAGGACAGCACATCATGCGTGCCAGTCACTTAAAGTAACAGTTTCCTCTCACAGCTTAAAACACAGATTATGTGCAGAAAAGGCTGCAGATGCTGTTAAATGGATTTATAAATCTGAAGAGGGATTTAAAACGCTCTCTGCGCTCCTGGATGAGGCCGAGGCGGTGTCGCTAGGTAGAGTTCTGGATGAGCAAATGCTGATGTGTAGGAGGAGGCCAAGTTCAGCTCTGAGCACGCTGCAGAGGCTTGTTAAAATTCAAATTTCTGAGTCAGAATCCAAAAAATGAAGGTGGTGATCATAGTTAGAGCTGCAGAGAGAGCTCTCCCTGTGCATGAGCTTCTGGCCTGCTCAGGAACTTGGAAGTGGGGATTATTTTGCAGCTGCATTTCTGCACCTCTAACATGTGTTGACTCTGGGAAATAATGCCGTGGCGTGCTCTGCTGCGCGCTCAGTGGTGGTATTTACCTC